GCTGCTGCTTTCTGCCACGCGCTTCACTTCGTACCAGTGAAGCTGAAGGGAGAAAATCTTTCACTTACGAGCTTGCCACTTCAGGGGTATATTTTGTTTGGTTTATTTTGTATTTTCAAGCATCTCCCCTAAACACCATTATTTAATGAAGACAGACACTCCACCCCATCTCAAAAAACTGAAAAGAAAATAAACCCAGGAAAAAAAAAAATTGTGAAAAGCTTTATGATTCCTGGCAGACATCACAAAGTTTTAGTGTGCTAAACATTTACAGCTAAGAAACCAAAAAAATTATATATCCAGCTAAAAATATTATTTTCAAATTACTCTCAAGAGCAATAAACCTTATGTCAGACAAAACACAGACTCTAGATATGAAAGAACTAAAAATTGTTACCAGTAAAGAAGAGAAGGATTTGTTCCAGAATACGGTGAAGCAGTATGAACTTTCAGGTTTTTTTCATCATGTACTCTCATTGCATGTGCTCGAAAAGGGTAACATTTCTTTGGACACAATCTGGCAGCATGAAGCAAGCAGCTGGACCTCTCAGTGGGATCCCACACAGACAGTGAAGTTCATTCCCATGCTACACTTCCCAGGAACAGCACCGTAAATAGTAAATATTTTCTGTGATTTGGAATCCAATAGTTCATTACATGCTGCGATTCAGTAGGGCAGGCAAGAGATATTTCTAGATGACCCCAAAACAACACCTTGTTATATCACTATTAACATTGCTCTTTCTGAAGGTTTTATCTAGCTTGCAGAAAACGCATAGTGGACCTCCTATGGTCTGGTAAAGAATAGGTCTAAAAGTGAGCGATAACAGGGTTAAAAATGATCAAGGACTCGACAGTCTTAAAAACACATGCAAAGCCAAGGCCAAGCTGGTAATGTACATATTTTGTATTTTAGAAGGCTCCATTTCACAGAGCTGAAAAATCACGAAGATTAAAACAAGCCATGAGAAAGAATATGGAAAAATCAATATACCGTGTTTATAACACTTACCCGTGCACCCAAAATCCTGCAACTATGAAAAAGGCACTGCCAGTTAAAGACCTATACTTGCCTTTACTTCCTCTGTAAGCCACTCTGCTTAGGCTAATTCCATATTTAAATTAAGAGATAAAAGGAAAACAGACAGAAACCAATTTAAGTTAGAACAGAAAAAGCATAGGAAACAGAGAAATGAAAAAACACAGGAAAAAAAATTTCTGGCTAGTAAAGGTTGGAATACAAAAGGTTTTTTTTTAAGAGATCCCTTAACACTCATGCTGACTCATCAGCAGATAGTAATAGTAACAGTACAGAGAAAACAGATGTGTTATGTACACCTGACGAAGCTATATGAAGTACTAACTGGACTGGATGACCCAGGTAATTACAGGTCCATCAGTCTAACACTGAGCAAGGCAAAATTATAGAATATTCTATACTGGACTCTAATAATAAAGAATTAGAGAGGGGTAATAAAATCAATGTCAATCAAATTAGGTCTATGGAAAATAGATTCTGTCAAACTAAACTGACATCCTTCTTGATGAGATTACAAGTTTGACTTATAAATTTTAAGAATGTCGATTTAACAGCATTGATATACTTGGTGTTCTATAAAGCACTTGATTTGGTACTGCTTATTTAATTGACTAAAACAAAATTAACATGGTACACATTAAATGGATTAAAAAAATAATCAGCCAACAGATCTCTAACTGGGAATTGTGAATAGGAAATCACCAGAAAGATGTTTTCCTACAGGTCTCTCTCAGAAAACAGGTCTTGGCCCTAAACTGTTTATTTCCATCAATGAGTGGAAAAAACCAAACTCCTTGCTCCTGAAGGTTGACTGCAGAAAGACGGGATGAAAGAATAAGAACAAGGAGGACAGAGTGAAGGTGCAAAGCAATTTAAGCTCCTCAGTAAACTACAAACACATAAATTTAGATAGCACAAACCCAAGATTACGTCCCAACAAACCAAGAACCATGGCGTACTCTCCAGATGGGAAATGAAGGGCTCAGATACAGGGTGACAGATAATC